TATACTTGTGATTTGAATTGGAACGATTTCAAATTCGTCAAATTTGTATTAAAACAATATGAATGTCGTTACTTTGTTTGTGATTTTGATACATAATGATATCATTATCGTTTCAATACAAGTTTGATGATGATATCGTTTTAGCTTAAATCATAACTAAAATTACATACATATCGTTTCAGTTAAAATAAAACGACAATTATATCGTTTATGTTAAAAATAACGATTCGACCGTCCACGACCACCAGATGTGCATCTAGTATATGTAGGATGATCAAAATAGATACTCAAGTGGGCTCGATCTCCCTCAAAAGAAACTATGAAAATATTTTTGTTCTCATGATTGTATATTACCTTCGAACTATTCAAACAAAAAATATTTTCGTTCGCTCTTTTTACGTCATTCAAGCGATATCAATCCACTTAATGACATTTTTCGATCATTCTGCGTATGCTGAAGGCATGACGGATGGTTGTGGACGGTCGAATCGTTATTTTTAGCTAGAACGATATAATTGTCGTTTTATATGAAAATAAATGATATCTATGCCGTTATCATTGTGATTTGAATTAGAATGATTTCAAACTCATTAAATTTGTACTAAAACGATTTGGATGTCGTTGTCTTATTTGGGGGTTTGATACATTACGATACTATTATTGTTTCGGTACAATTTTGATAACATTGATATCGCTTTAGTTTAAATATTAACTAAAATGATAAATAAAAACGATAATTATAAAAACGACGATTCGATCATCCACGGTCAATTATATGTAAATTTCAATTACATTTAATATAGTAGTTATAACGTTCTAGTGTAATCACTCCTGAAACGATATGTATGACATTATAGTTACGATTGAATAGAAACAATATCATTGTCGTCGAAAATTGTATTGAAAAGAAATAAACGTTGTTTACTTATTCTATAGCGTGCGCTTAAACCTGTTAAACAGTAAAGCAATGTGTGTTCGATATCGGAACGACATATACATCCTTTTTTGTATTTCAGGAACGAGTTCAATGTCGTTATACAAATCAGTTAAGCAGAGTGTATTTGATGCTGAAACGATATCGAAGACGTTTTATGTTTCAGGAATGATTTCAATGTCGTTATACAAATCAGTGAAACTGTGTCAGCAACTCATTTCCATTCCACATTTTTTAAGTTGATAAGTTATATTTTACGATTTTTTTAAAGTACAATATTTTGGTGTTGGCTTATTCGAATCGACTTTTTCTCGAGTTGAATAGTTCTTATTAATTACAAGCTTTAAAATGAGTACAATATCGATATACTGTATCGCTATTTATCAAAATCTAAGTATTAGACTCTAAATAAGATATAAATTTAAAAAAAATATTTTTTTGTCCTTTTTTTTCCAAAATATAACGGTAAAATTTAATTTAAAAAATTTTGTGTGTTATAATAGGCATCTAATGAATAAATGACTCAGTAATTATTTTCGACTAGTTGCTAAGTTGTGGATAATGTTAAAACTTTGGGTGCACTAGAGATCAATTACGAAAAAGAGATGGCTTTAAACTTAAAAAGAAGAGTTCGAATTCTAAGGAGAAGATGATTTTGAAGAGAGTGATTTTTTGAATTTAAAGGAAAAGAATGCTGTGTGTTAGAATATGAATGCATAGTTATTAGAGTCAACCCGATGATCGACTCAAAAAAACCACCGGGTCAATGGTTCAATCTGTGGGTTATTGTTAAATTTTATTTTTGAAGTGAAAATAAAATAATTTTTTGAAATGTAATATATATATTTTGCTCATAAAAAACAAAGGACCATCACTTGTCATAATGGTGGTGGAGTTAAAATATTTTCTTGCAATCCAAGTTCGAGTCACGGTTCCAACAAATTTAAAAAAAAACTCCAATTTTTTCTTCATTTTTGTTTTACAAGTTAAGGGTAAATAAGTCTTTTGACACTTTTAAATAATTAAAACTCCTTTTATTTTTATAAGTTTGGTCAAAGGCCAATTGAACAAAATGTACATTAGAAGTGGCCATCCCAACTCATTTCCCCTAAGAAATTCCAGTTGCATTTTCAAAACGCCCCTCATGACGAATATTGATTTATCTTTTGTATTCAACAGGAAGTTACTGGGTATTTTCAGCAATTGGAACCACAAGGTATTAATCAATAATCAAATAACAACAAAGAAGTTAATCTCATTGTCAGAACAATAAATAGTAGATTGTGACAAAAACAACTGAAGATCAAGGTTGTGAGGGTGGATACATGGAGGATGCCTTTGAATTTATTGTAAAAAAACAAAGGAATTGTCACTGAATCCACATACCCTTATGAGCCTACAGATGGAATTTGCGACAAAAACAAAGAAAAATCCCATGCAGCCAAGATTTTAGAGTATGAAAAAATGCCCGCTAACAAGGAAAAGGCATTGCTCAAGGCTGTGGCGAATTAACCAGCGCCGGTTTCCATCGATGCCTGTGGAATGGACTTTCAGTTTTAGTCTAGTACCGTTTTAACCGGCAAGTCTGGGATCGACCTCGACCATGGTGTGACGATCGTACGAGACGACTAGTGATGGTACAAAATAATGGTTGGTTAAGAATTCTTGGGAAACAAGATGCGACAGGAGGGGTATATAATAATGCAAAGAGATATTGGTTCTAAACAAGGGCTTTTGTGGTATTGTAATGGATTCTTCATATCCAACCGTTTAGAATTGTGTACTGTATGTAATTTTCTTTAAATGAACCTGTAAAATATGTTGTAATTTAAAGTAAATCTGTATTTTTCTATGTACAAAACTACATTAATGGAACTGCTAATGTCTTGTTTATACTAATTCATGATACGTTTTTCTCATGATGATTTATAAAGTTCCTCGTATAAATGGGATTGAAAATTTACAAATAAGTCCAGTTATTGTAAGAATATGGATAAAAGATCAAAAATGTTGTCACATTACCCTAAAGTACCACCAGTAGACTTAGGAGAATAACTCGAGTTTTTGTATTACTAGAAATCGAAATGATGAGGAAACATAAGATATCTTTCCAAATATCTGAGCATTATTAAGACAAAGAAGGCCTACAGCACTAGACATTATAAAATTCGAGGGCACCTGTGAAGGTTGTTGTAGGGTCATAGAAGGACATCCACTGTGACTACTATGTCGTCGCAACACTATCAATCTTAAGGATGAGGAAACATAAAACCAAGGCTTTTAGTTCCATAATTATTGGACAAGGGTTCGAGACTATCGAAATATGAAAAGAAGCTGGAGTAAAAGAGAATTTTAGCATATGTTTGTAGTATTAGTTGATACCCGTTAAGATTAGGTTTAGTCGATTAGTCAACGTTATCAACAAATACAAAAATTAAAATGTGCAAAAAAATAAAAAAATTGAAAGAACAGAGATTTTTCGCTCTAAGGCAAGAGGTTCAGAACAAATTTCTCATCCCCTTTTGTGCTTCCACCATCAAAAGAAATCATTGCATTAACCATAATCAAAATATCGTCAAAAATTAAGTTCAGCCTCAACGACCCAGAAATCACCCAAGATTTACAGAAAATCTTCTCGAACACAAAATCAAAGTTCACTCAAGACTTGTAATACATGATTTCATATTGAAGATGAAGTATCTTCAATATTTACACTCGAGAAGGAATCAGAGAGTCACTCAAGATTCATAGAGAAAAGGAGATGAACAGCCAAAAACGAATGAACCAAGAACAATGAATAATGAATAAAATCTAATACTAGATGCCAATAACCAAGTAAAATAGAAGTCACCACAAGGTTACCAATTCAACGGCTGAGGAGGCAACACTTGGCATCATCCAGTTTACTTAGTCCACTAATAAAAGCACATTTTAAAACGCAAGTTTGGTTAAAACATTAAGGCATAAGTTGTAAACACGTTTTGTCTCCACAATTAAATCAAATCTTCAACAGTCAATGATCCACATCCAGTCAGAAAAAAAGGGCCTCCACATCATTATGCCATATCCTTTCAATACCAATTAATCAATCCAGAATAAATTGAATCATTTATACGTTACCCTTGCATTGAATTTTTTATTAGACGTTTCTTTCAGCCATAACATATGTTAGGATTAACTTCATAGTTTTGAATTCCTTTCCAAGTTGAGAAAGTCGTGTAACATTAGTCGATGTGCTATTGACGTGTCTAATGTAGCTGGTTTCAGAGGGGAGATTTTATTATCATGTTTTGAGTCTAGGATTGAACTATCTATGGAGTATTGTGGCTGCATGGTAAGTCTATTTTGCCATGTAGGTTTAATTGAAGAGGCTTATAGGTTTATCGAAAGCTTGCCAGTTATATCAAGTCCAGCAATTTGGCAAACTTTGCTTGTGAGTTGCAACAAGAACAAAATTTTAGACCAAGTTGAAATCTTTGCACAAAAAACTTCTTGAATTAGAACCCCTCAATGGCGAGCATGAGCATCGACATCAGATTGGGTGAAAATGAGCCCTGTTAGAAAGTAGATGTAAAGATAAAAGCTTATAGACTGTAACAAGACGAAACTACATTGAAATAGAGTTTTTCTGCACGAGTTCGTAATAGGAGCCAAGCAAGAACTTTCACATTGTTGAAGAACTCAACTCAATACCTCTTGACCGGAAGTTAAAGATACTTTTTCGACACAGTACTCCTATTCAACTGGATTTTCAAATTTATCCACTTCTACTCGGCCACTTTACTCTCCTACTTTTTGACATCAAATGCTCGATAATGTTATGCCTGAAATGACAGCAAAAGTTGCTTTATTACTGGAAACATTAACTGTTACACATAATTCACTTATTTTTCCACCACCTGCACATGCAATACAAAAACTTGACCAAATACTTCAGTCCTCTTGTACGCATGGAGGCCCTTAAAACGATATGGGGAATAAAAATACAGTAAATACTTCTTAATTTTAACCAAACTTAGACTTGAATTTCAATCAAATTTTAAGTAAAATAATTTTGAACAAGTAAAAAATGGTTTATTAAGATACTAGGCAACTTACTTAACATTGTGACGTTGCTTTGCTTCTTCAACGACGTGCTTCAGGCCTGCTCCTTGGCCACCGAGTTTTTCATTCTTCTGGAATTTTTCATTTTCTTTTATTCCTGTTAGCCTGTTTGCAAACCTGCAAGTTAAACATAGAAGCATATTAACAATATGTCAAGAAATTAAGAGTACTAAGTAGAAGTACAGTAAATTGAGCAAGAATTGAATTTCTTACTGAGCTCCTTCTTGAACAACACAGCTGGGGTCTTCCTTGGCCTCACTACCAATCTGTTGCCAACCATCATCTATGATCAAGAAACGTGGTGGTGTTCCTCCCTCAGATAAGCTGCCATCAAAATTTAGCAAATTAAATCCCTATTTACCATGACTTTCTTTTTTTCTTTATTTATAGGACAAGACGACAAGGAGATAACAGGATCAACAGTTTTTACCTCTTAAGGCCTTCGTCAACACCCTCGGCGGTCACATCAGTGTAGAAAGCATCCCATGTGCACCAGCCAAACCAGTCAAGAATAGAGGGCAACTATAATCAAGCAAAAATAAAAATAAAAAAATGCAGTACACAGAAGTTAGAATGCTCCATCTTGATCACAATCAAATCAAACAATTTTAAATGATTTAATTTAAGAAGAGAATTTCACCTTTTTCTTCTCTCGGTGATGAAAAGTTTGCAAGTGTTTTTCAACAGCTCTGTTTCACACAAAAAGGAAGGATATATATCAATGAACAAAGCAATGCATGACAACATCAATATACAAGTATTTCAACGAATTTGATAGTTGAACAATTGAGCTATTAAGTTTATGACAGATATCATGTTCTTTCCAATACTTCTAAGGAAGAAGACCTTCAATCCTTACACAATTTTCTTTTTCCTACCATATGGGGGAATGTATGAGACTTACTTCACAGCCTGGTTGATGACTTCAAAAGGATTTGTCCCAGCATGCATATAAACAAGATTAAGTCCTTGGTTGGTTACAACAGCACTATCTCCTGCAATAAAATCACACCACAAAGAAAACAAGCTTGTGTCGGTTTTTTCAAGTCATTCCTTTATAATTTTCTTCCCCAAAATTCAATAAACTCCATTAATTCATGCATTGATGACAGGTGAGTAATGGATTTCTTTGTTACAGTGAAATTCACGTATAACAACTCCACTTCACCATACAGGACTCTTGATCTCCTTTTTTATGCCGAAAGGATGGACTGGCTTAACGGTGGATATTGCCTAATGTAAGGCGAAGTAACGAATCATGTGGCCATTGGGGCTACACCACGTCAATGCATGTAGCATACACCATATACTTTCTGATGCCATGAGCTACTCACCACTCTCAAGGCAGATCTCCAGCTCATTCTTCTCATTGCCTTGAAGAACAGCACGAAATTGGCCTTCAAGGAGTGGCAGAAAGACAGTATAAATGGTTGGGGCATCTTCACGTTCGCCTTCAGTGGAGTCTTTGCTCTCCACAAGCATGAATTGGGTCTCCAAAGGAATGTCCTTCCCACATGTTCCCATTCTCTGAGTCATCCACCACAGCTTGAAACGAAATAAACTCAAGAAGCGAACACCCCTGTTACAGAATTAAATTAGAATATCTGCATTATCATTTATTGTTAATATTCTTGATTTTTTTCAGCAAAGTAAATGACAGCTTATGTTGCTCTACGAAATGTTAATATGCATCAGTTTGGCTAGAGAATCAGTAATGTCCAAACTCCCATTTGTTCTAAAAATCTGAATGCCCACACAACAAGAGCATATAAGTCCTAAAACATTGGACACAAATTTGGAACTAATGTTTACTAGTACAACGAACTGCACTAATGATGTAATAGATTTGATTTTTTTTTTTTTTTTTTTAAAGTACTTATGAGTGATAATAATGCAAGATTTATTTACAGCACGGGGTTGTTGCAGAGAGGGAAGGGCAATTGAGGTCAAGAAATACACAATACAACATTAACAGATCAAATAGAGTAAAAAGCTCTAATTAGAGTTTAACAAAGAAGATGGATAATAATCCCCCACCCAGGAAACCATTAATTGCTCTATTTGCCACCCACCACTTATGAAAATTGGGTTCAGAAGGAAAATTCTATACCATGACTTTTCTCCCCCACAGAAGATGATTCTAGTTTAAACTAGAAGGGAGTAGGTTCAAACAAATGGTCATGTCCAAATAATAATACCCTACATCTCATGGATATACTACATCCTTTAACATTTTCCCCTGCTAAGATCTTGTTCCTAATAAGGATCACACCCTTCTGTACTCATATTCATTGTGTAGGAGTTGAATTATTTGTTGATCACATAAAAATAGCCTTTTCTATAAAAGGCACCACTTAACACAGAAAATATATTAGAAGCAGTTCTAAAGAAAGATGCACGATCAACTAGTACTACAGAATAATGTTACCAATTACTTTTACTGAATCCTATAACTGGTGTTTTGTTAAATAGGGGATTTCACTTCAAATAAACATGCAACAAATTATTTCAGATAACTATCTCAGAGAAGATCAATAAAATGGCTCAGTGCTTACTCTAAGACACCAACGGGGAAAACATGCAGGCTTTTGCTATTTGAAGCTGTAGCACCAATGAATGCACCGGTAACAAGCCCACCGCCTGATCCTGGGGTCAGCACAATGTTGTCAGGCACTCCTGTGAGTATGGTCTTCCCTTGAACCACAAGATTCCCATCATTGACAGAGATTTTAGGTGTAACCGTCATATTTGCACGCTCAGCTACCGCCTGGCAAGTAACTAAAACCCCAAACAAAACAATAACCAAAACTTAGAAACCAAACAGCAACCGTACTGAGATCTAAATAAGAACCAAGATCAGATCATAATTAACACATAAAATTAATTTCAATAACAAAGATCTAAATAAAAAAACCAATTGCTTCTAATCACAGAAAATAAAATCCATCCCATCATAGATACATAGACAAAATTATAGACAGGTGGGCATGTGAAATCATAATGGCATGAGATTCCATAAATATGGTATACAAGAATTAACACAGAGAATACGTAAGTCACCAGCTGACTAATCCTCAGCATACATTTTGCGCTGATTTGATTCTCCAAATAGAATCATCTGACATATGGATCTAATATGCATAGTTTTGAGAAACTTAAGTTCAAGAATCGCCCAGAAATTCAAGCAAATTATCATTAACAGTGTGCATGGAAAAGTTCTTAAGATGTCTATATTGTATATACCTTACCCAAATTTCCTGTTCCAAGAAAACGGCTCTAAAATCAAAATCATGAAAGTTGGTCCCTTAATCCCTTTACGGAACCTCTCCGGAGTGTAATTTAGGTTCTTGATGATGACAGTATTTGGAACCAGATAATTACTTAAATCTTAATCCATTTCCAAATTTTAAGTTTAAACAAAATTCATATTACACACGCCATATTAGTAAGTATATTGATATTATAAACATCATCACTGGACCACCACACCAATATAAGATCTGCTTTAGATCTAACTTTTGAACTTTTGCAGAAACTTTAAGAAACATCTCTCTCTTTATTTCCTTTTCTTTTGCAAGTTTTTCTTTTCAAGAAAATAGAGATTTTGAGCTAAAGCGACAAAAGGGAGACAAATTTTCCAAGTCTCCAGCAGATGTTGATGACGAAAAGGTTCAGAAATGACCAGATTCATGAAAGCGACCATACACAGTTACTAAAATCAGAAACAAAATTATTCTAAATATTTTTAATTTCTAAATATTATAAATTACTGCTATTGACAAATTAAATTAAAATATTTTAGTTCAAGATAATCAATACGACGTCGCTAACTCATAGGTCCAGGAAAGCAAGTTGCCATCGGTGTCCAAGGGCGAAAATTTGAAGAAAACTCAAGGGCATAATAGTCAATGAACAGAAGACTTCAAAACGAAGAAGATCCACCGTCAGAAACTCTAGGGAAGTACAGAGAGAATGGCAGTTAATTAAATTTAAAGAAATTCGAAGGTATAATCGTCAGAAAAATCATTCCAATTGCTAAATTACCGAAATCAACACTATTCATGAACATATCTAAGCTAAATGCCATCTTAAAGGCTTAAAAAAAAAAAAAATTTAAAACTAACCAAAAATATTGTTTAAGAAAATGCTTAATTTCTTTCTAATCACCTCCTGAGGATTTCAAATTCTTCAAAAAATGAGAGTAGGATCTCAAGATCGCTTCGCAGGCGAAATAGAAGCTCGGCGTACGTTCAAATTCTTCCAAGAAAATAAAGCAGATATTGATTTTCGGTTCTTAAAAAAAAAAAAAAAAAAACTAAAGCTTGACGACCATTAGTATTCATATAATTCTAGCAAAAATCACAGGAAAAATAGTGTTCAGATTGTATCACGGAAACCTGCAAATATACTTCAAAATCAATAATTTCCCAAAATTGAAAATTCCCTTACTTTGAGTCACTTCGATTCTTCATACACAGCTCCAACAGTAAATTCAAGTGTTCAACAAAATTCTGCAGAAAAATATTAATAAAAAAACTCACCTTTTTTTACTCTAACCGCTTCAAAAAAGCGGGCTTAAATAAAATGTTCAACAATGATCACAGAACAAATTCAAGACGAGTTTGAAGAGGAAACAACCTAGGGGTTTATATACTCAATTTGAGCTTAAACATCGAACAATTTTCCTTCACAAACATATTCAAAAATGCCACGTGTATGTAAGTATTCGATGTTTAATCTGTCTGGAAATGGATATTTTGTGTGAGAGCTCATTTATTTAATAATTCTTTTTGGTGCTGCAAAATTTAGTTGCAGACTTTGAGGGCATTCTTGGGAACTTAATTAGTCAGAGTCAAATAAACGACACTTTCGGTTTTAAGGTAACCCAAGGTCGGCTCGAAAAGTCGAACCATCTGTCCATATCTATTGAAATTTGAACACCGGTCTGACATAAGTCTTTCAGTTGCGGATGATTTGAAAATGGCGTGACTCGAGTCATTAGCCGTCTTATTTGACGAAAATATTATTATATCCGAGAAAAATTTCAGTGGGTGCGACGACTGTCAAATGGGGAGCCACAATTTTATCGAATAGCTCATGCTCATCTAATAATGTGAGACTATTTCCAGACTTGATTTTTTTTATATCTCTTTCCACCTCAAGTTCCGAGGTGGTCTTATTTTATTGGGCGAAGATGGGTCATCCAATTAGATGGTGACTTTCCATTCGATAAACACACCACGTGGTACGATACGACCGTCTTATCCAAATTTTTCTCTATCAAACCATGTACCAAAATAGCTAGTTACTACCATCAACAAAAATTTGTAGCAAAGGCATATCATCAAGATACATAAATATGTCGGCTTGAACTGTATCTTTCGAGGAATATTTGTATATTGTATTTTAATGAGATGTTGATGAATTTTTATTTGAAAAATAAAAATATAATCAAAATTCAATATTATTAGCTTGAACCATGTCGTCAAAATATTATTGGCTTGAACCATGTGATTGCTTATTTCACGATGTCAATTGATTAACTAACATATAAAATGGACAAAGAGGGTTGGCTAAATTGATTCCAAAATTGATTGGATTTGTGGATAGGATTAAAATCCACACTATTTAATGAGGTGTCATTCATCATTTTTTGTACTTTAATTTCTAAATGGAATTATTCTTTGCTAAAAAAAGGCTTTACATGACCAAGGCATCTTGTCTTTCCAAAAATAGATGTTAGATTAAAAAGTTTCTTATAACTAAATTTGTATTATCATTAATTTTAATTATTACGTAAATGTCTTCTATTCTCTCGTAAAAAAAATAAATATTATGTGGTCGACTTCGAATTATTATTAGCCACCATTTTGCATGGAAAAAAGAGAACACACAATTGGTAGGTTTGGGAATGATTAACTAACAAGAACTCTTAACTAAATGGAAAAAATGATAAAACTCTAAAGACGGGTGATTTGTGAAATGTCTATTCTCACCTAACTTCGATTGAGCATTTCATTGATTAAAATGAACAAACTCTAGTCATATAGTTAATAAAAAAGATTGTAGAGAACAATAAATAAATTTACAATCATGCAATAAGTACGAATTTTTTTAATAGCAAAATTTGACAGATAACAATTGACATGACACCATTGGAAGATGAAAAAACTGATCAATCAAGTCGGGCCACGCCAGCTTCAGTATCAGTTCTGTTAAAATTTTCCTATACTTGGAACTTTATTAATAAATTTATTGCATGTTTAGTACGTATAAGTGTATAAAATCGTAAAGTACACACAAAAAAGTTAAATTTTAATTGTTATAGTATCCGACCTTAGCTAACATTTCCAACAAATACAACACTATAATTATTTAACAAATTAGTATATTTCTCTTCATTGTACTATATATTGTTACAGTACCTAGTATTGACCGTGATCATTTTTTTTTTAGGCTGTTTAATTTTCTTAAAAATTACTTTTAAAAAAGGTAATTAACACAAAACGTCCATACTTTTCATAATTTTTGTGGAAAACGTCCTTATCTTTCATTTTTTTTGGCACATTTCATTCCTGTCTTTACCTTTTCTTGTAAAAAACATCATTTTTTCATCATTTATCTCAATAAAAAGTTATAAAATGACTAATATACCATTCTATTTAAATAAAAAAATAAAGAATAAACGCAATCGTAGTTCCAAATAAAAAAAATTTCCACCTCCACCTCCTCTTTTGAACTTTTTTAAAAATTGGAACTATGATTGCAATTAGTTCTTTATTTTTTTATTTAAATAGAGGGTATATTAGTCATTTTATAACTTTTTATTGAGAAAAATGATGAAAATGACGTTTTTCACAATAAAAGGTAAAGACAGGAATGAAATGCCCCAAAAAACGAAAGGTATGTACGTTTTCCATAAAAATCATGAAAGGTAGAGACGTTTTGTTCTAATTATCCTTTTGAAAAACCTTACTACTAACTTTTCAAAAGTAAAAGTTTATAATGCCTGATAAAATAAGTTACTTAAAAATAAATTTAATTTACTTTTAAGTACAATTAAGTATGCTCGCGTTACCATACCTAGCCCATAAAATTTCCGTATGTTTTTCACTTATTTTTGGATTAAAAAATTCATTTGGGGTGGAACTGTATTATAGGTAGGTGAAATGAACTCTTTCTCTCTCTGCTTTATATTTTAAAGAGAGAGTTTAATCTCATTCGCCTTGTCTTTACTCGAAGAAATCAGGACCTGGTGGGGTCCATCCACGTCAGATTCAACTATGATCCTTGGCATATTCTGTATTCGTGTGAAATTGGTCGCCGAATTCTAACATATTGTCACTTTCTATTATTCAAAACAGCCACATACAGATTCCCTTGCGACTAGTCTTGGAACAACCAAATCGTTAAATCTCAAACATCCAATCGAACTCACTTTACTTTTGAAACAAATCAAACCGCTTTAGAAATAATTTGATTTAGGTTTCAATTTTTGTGAATTATTTCGAACTGTCAAATCGTTTACAAAAAATAAAGAGAAAATTACCTTTAACCCCTGCATTTTAATTTTCAATTTCAAAAATCAAATGCAAATTATCTTCTCAAAATCAACTTATGATATTTTTTTTTACTACCATCCACCAGCACTTTCAACACACTGACCCAGCCCACTTACCCTTGCGTAAATATCTTCCTTTATTTGGGATCTCTCTCTCTCTCTCTCTCTCTCTCTCCAGTTGCAAGTAGACTGACCACAGCTTTTGCTAAGAGAAAAAATGATTCATTGAGGAACCATTAAACACGCATCCCAAAGTTTCCCAACCACCGCTCACGGCTTCATGGGCGATGAACTCGCTCCTTCGATTGACTTCCCACCATACCTCCTAAAAAATGGTCCTAAGTGAAAACCCTAGATTTGTCGTCTCTACTCGTGGGCCCCATGGGTGTGGTGGCATCCCATCGCCAACTCGCATCCTCAAGGCGATCACTTCAATGTAACAACATTATCAAACAGGCTACTCAAGTTTCCTGGGAATCATACCATAAAATCCATTGGGTTGTTGTTTGGTGATTGTCGATTGAGGTGTAGGTGTAGGTGGTGGTGCATTGGAGGTAGAGGTAAAGGTGGTGGTTGGTTGGTTATGGATCTGAGGTGACGACGATGGCGACAATGGACTTAGGTCTATAAAAATATGTTAGTTGTGACTAATTTTGCATCTATAACCCACATTTTGTACTTTGTGATTGTGACATTAGTGATTTTGTAATTAGTACGTAATTGTAATTATAAATAGTATGTTATTGTGATCTAAACATATTCAAATTTCAAATAATAAATAGGTCACAAAAATTTTATCATTGACCACCGGACATTTGAAAGAATTCCACAAGTTTTTTAAATTTGAAAGTGTTATCTTGAAATTATTATAATTGTGTATATTGTCTTTCAAAAATAAATCTAAAATTAAATTAATTCAAATTTTATCAAACATAATTAAAACTAAACACGTCACAACTAAAAAGACACATCCATATTAGACACAATCTAATTAAACACTCAATTATGTTATTATCAATCACAATCAATTAATTAAATCATACTGAATATTCATTAGCAATCATAATCAACAATGCAAAAACCTCAATTTATTATTATTTTTGACTTAATTGCTAGATGTACAGTTAATTATCGTGGTTTCACTTTTTTTTAATATTTAGCAGAAATATGGTTTTACAACAATTATAATAGCCTTTTTATTTTTTATGTATATGATTTGCTTATTTGAAAATCTTCACTGGATAAACTTCTTGTATAGTTGATAGTTTATTGAATCTCTTTTATTATCATAATGAGCAATCTATTTACTTTTTCTGTTATTAGGGATTATGTCAATTTTTTTCTGCTGCAGTTGTGCCTGTGCAAGTTTGGAGGTCAAGTTTAATGCGATTTTAAACTAATATTTATATTTTAATTTATTTGATAAATTTTAATTTTGTGTTTGCTAAATCGTGGTTTTAAATCAAACCAAATTTAGTTTGGTTTGGAAATATTGAACCGTATTCGCCCCTACTTGGTACGAAGTAATTTATGCAACGCAAATATTACATTTTTAATAATCGTGGTTTTATTAATTGATTCATTCATCCCATAAAAATAGATTTGCTTTTTTTTTTAAAATTTTTCTGGACGTATTAAATTACTCTATTAGTCTCATAGAGATGTTTTTTATTTGTCCTGAATTATAAGCTACTTTATAGTTAGTTTTTTAGTTTTTTAATATGCTTTTATTCATTGTGACTTGTTATCAACAAATATGAACTACTTTTATTAGTTATCAACAAAAAATTATTCTTCAAATTATATTAGTCACATTTTCTTAATTTATGTGAAAATGGAAGCAATTATATCTTCTTGGGACGGGTGAGTATATTATTTTACTAATGTGGGGACTTATTCATTATTCTTAGAAGAAATGAAGGATTTATTGTGCAATTAATGTTTATAATCACAAATATACTTTTAATTTTCATTTTTGTGTGACATGTCATTTGTACCCTTGATATACAATCACATGCAACAACAATAAATAGTTTTTTTTTTTCATTTAATTTTGAATTT